TGTGTTTAATTGCTTGCCCTACTTATTTGGTTGCTTCTGATCTCATTCATGGAGCTCTGATCATTTTGGTCCCTCTGTAGAACATCTTTCAGTAACCTGTGTAGGTTTGACTTTGTCATCATGGAATTCTTTAGCTGTTCTTCATCATGAAATTATTTCACTTCTCCATCCAACTTTAAAGAGAATTTTGCAGGGTATATTAGTCTAGGCTGGAATTTGTTTTCATAGAGGACTTGAAGTACTCTGCTCCATGCTCTTCTTGCCTTCATGATTTGTGAAGAGAAGTTGGTCGTAATTCTGATGGGCTTTCCTTTGAATGTGATCTGCTTCTTTTCTCTAGTGCCTTTCATTGTATTAATCTTGTGCTGAATTTCTGGGATCTTGACTATTATATGTCTCGGTGTGTTTTTCATTGGGTTAAGGTTACTTGGCATTCTGTATGCTTCGGTTACCTGAATGTCAGATTGTTTCCTCATATTTTTGAAGTTTTCTGCTATTACTTCTGCCCATATTTTTTTGATGTCATTTGTATTGACTCCTTCTTTTTCACTGATACCTATTAGCCTCCCATTGTTCATCTTTGCATCATCTTTCAGGTGATGGATTATTCTTTCCTGCATTCTCCTTGTTTTTAAGAGATCCTTTCTTACCTTTTCACCTGCTGCACCAGTGTCTTCAAGATCTGAAACTCTGTGTGCACTTTCACTTAAACGGTTTTGCACGCTTGTGATTGAGATTTTAATTTCCTCTCTCTCTTTGACTCTGCTTCATGCGATCTATTTCTTTCATGTATTGCTCATTCAAGAAATCCGTCATTTTTCTAATCTCTATTTTTTTTATCAATGTCTTCTTTAGAAGCAGTTATAAATTCTTTTAGTGCAGTATTTTTTTCAGATTGGCTTTCCTCCCTATGTTTCTGTAGTTAATTCTTTACTTCAGATGCTATGAGTTCTGAGAATTCTTTTTTTATTTCAGAAAGGAATTCTGCTGTGAGTTCCTCTATAACTTTCTGCTATTGCTTATTTACTATCGATGCTATTAATTCGTACATTTGAGATGAGCTCCTATAAAAGAATTCCACTCTGAGATCCTCTATGACTTTCTGCTGTTGTTTATTTACTATCGACATTATTAATTCATACATTTGAGCCGAGCTAGTGTCCTCTGTACTTGTTCTGGGTGGGCACTAGGCTTCCTCCATATGTTTCTGTATTTGATTCTTTATTGCAGATGTTATTAATTCAGGGATTTTTTTTCCAATCTGAGTTCCTCTACACCTTTCTGCAGCTCTTTCTTTATTTCAGAAGCCCTTGATTCTTTGCTTTCAGCCGAATGATTCCCAATTTGCCTGTGTTAGTGTCCTCTGCACTTGTTATGGGTGGGCTTGGGTTCTGAGATTGCATTTTGTTCCTTTTTGTCATTTTATGTAGCACTGTCTTCTGACCTTTGTTGTAGATTTTTGTTGCAATTATAACCTTAGCACCTACTGAAGTTCAGGTGCAGATCTACAAAGTTTGGATTTATCCAGCTGTGCCTGGCTTGGGTCTTTATGTTGTGCTCAGCCCTTTCCTGTTGCCGTCCTTGGGGGTGAACCTTTGTGCCCCTCTGGCAAGATATTCTGCTCTTGGACTAGCTGGGTTGTTCTGTCCCCTACACTCTCTGCAGGGATTGCAACTGCAGGGTTTCACACAGGCCTGTATGCCAGGCCTGAGCTTAGTCTGGAGGGGACAAGATGGAGTAGGGGTGAGACGCAGCTCTCCCACACACTCACTGGGCCTGTGCTACTACTGGATCTGCGGGTTCCTGGAACGTGGCAGAAATTCCTACTCGCCAGGCAGGGTGGGGGAGTACTACAGAGTCATGAGGGGCATCCCAAGGGAGTGGAAGAGGGTCTCACCCACTCTGCACCTGGGATGTGACCAGTATTTCCCTCCGGCACAGGGTAGCGGGAAGCTCTCCCACACACTCACCAGGCCTGGGCTAGGACTGTGTCTGGGTGTTTCCGGAATGCGGCAGAAATTCCTACTCAGTGGGCGGGGTCAGGGAGGTGCTGTAGAGTGTTGGGGGGCATCCCAAGGGGGTGGAAGAGTGTCGCGCCCAAGTTGTGCCTGGGCTGGGACCAGTAGGTCCCGCCATCGCTGGGTAGCAGGAAGCTCTCCCACATACTCACTGGGCCTGAGCTAGGACTGGGTCTTTCCATTACTTTAATGAAATTTTGTACCATTTCTTTTTTATCATTGTGCATTCTTTAAAAAATAAAATACTACTGCTGCTATTACTACTAATGCTAACACTAATACTAGTACTAACACTAATACTAATACTAATACTAATAAGGCACACTCCCCAAAGTGGTTGTCTAACACAGGCACTTTGTGAAGGGCACGCCCTGTGCTGGCTGCTCTACTCTGAAGCGGACTCTGCACTTCTCACTCAAAACTGCAGAGGTGCTCTCCTCCTGCAGAGTACATTGAGAGCTGAGGAAAATGTGGCTGCCGCCATTCTCTCCCATACCATGCTCCATTTGCCTTTGTATTTAACTCGGCAGTACTGCCTGTGTGTGTGTGTGTGTGTGTGTGTGTGTGTGTGTGTGAGAGAGAGAGAGAGAGAGAGAGAGAGAGAGAGAGAGAGAGAAACAGAGACAGAGACAGAGACAGAGACAGACAGAGAGAGGGAGAGGGAGATGGAGACCGAGAGACACACAGAGTGTCTTCAGTTTTTTCCCTGTTAACGATCTAAATTGGGTTGCTTTCCCAAAAAATTATAGAAGTTCTTAATTTCCATAAAGCCCAATTTATTGATCTCTTCTTTTATTAAGGTGCTATTTAAGAGTTTTCTGCCCAGCTCTTGGTCATGAAGATTGTGTGCTGTGTTACTATCTCAACGCTGTGTTGGTTTTCCTCACAAACATAGTTATTTGACGCATGTGGTGTTCATCTTAATGCATAAAAGGAGTAAGAATTCAAATTTCAAGGCTTTTTCTTCCCAGTACTGATACCAATTGACTCAGCATCACTTACTGAAAAGATCACTGCCCTGAGTCTTTTTTCAGTATATCACATTTTACATTTGTGTGTGCGTGTGCATGTGTGTGTGCATATGCGTGTGTGTGTGTGTGTGTGTGTGTGTGTGTGTCCTTCCTTATTCTGTATTCTGTCTCAGTTCTCTCTCCCTGTCTTCCTGTTTCTCTATGCAATATGAGGGATTGGGTGCAGTGCTAGGGATTGGGTGCACTCCTCACCTCCTGGAGTCTTCGTTTTCTCGTTTAAGATAAGGGAATAATGCAACTTATTTTAGATGTAGCTGTGGGGATTAAATGAGATAGATAAGAAAATGCTTAACACAGAGCCCATCACATGAAGCTTTATATACCTCAAGAGACTTACATCCTCCTAATGCCAGCATATTAATTATTAAATTTATGCCACTTATATCCACTGTTCTGTACTTTTTCCCTACTTCTTAAAAACAGTAAATACATTCTCCCCAAAGATAATAATTTGCGTCGCAACTGTCTATGTGTGCACAGTAGCTACGTGTTAATTAGAATGTGTACAGAGCCTCATACATTATTATTAGAGAGACGATGAAAGCAGATTATTTGAGAGGTGAGCATCCAGCAGTACTAAGCAATCAACACAAGTGCTCTGGATTTCATACAGCAATCAGGGAAAAATCTTTCAGGAAAGAACTGTCTTGATAAATGTTCCCTGGGGTGGGGCAGGGTGAAACAAGCCAGGAGTCCTACGCTGAGTGACTAGACAGCACAACACTGAGGCAAAACTGAGAGCCAGGAAGTCACCACAGACTTAAATTTCTTCACCTAAGCCAGGCCCCCCACGTCCTGTGTCTTTACAAAACAATTTTCTTATCTGAAATGCACCTCCTCATACAGTTGCCAAGAAATGGTTACTAAGGTTTTAAAATCACACGTTCATTTCATCAAAAATGTTTATTGGGGAGGCCTTAATGGGTTTCAAAGATCATGTTAAGGACCAGAGATATAGGGTTGCACACAGTCCCACCTCAGCCTCACCCTCCTGAGTTCAGCCTCTGCTCCCAGGCCTGTAAAGCCACATACATTGCTCTCTCCCCACTTCTCCAGGGTATGGGTGCATGTGTGCTGTCAGGCAACAGTCTGTCCCTTCCCGTGGCTGTCACCCCAGCCTGGGAGGTGCTGCCTGAAAGGAAGGGATGCAGTTCTTTACTTTTTATTCCTCAGAGCACAACTAAAGTCTGACATGCAGTGGGCATTCAACATGTTGGATGAAATCATACATTATTCATGAGGCCTACGTGCGGTCAAATTCATTAAATGATTTTTTCATGAATATTAAAGAAATAAAAACAATTACATCTTTTTGAAACATCCTGTGCTTTTGTTATTTGATTAGCATTTTATTAGTAGCCCTAGCAGGTTCTTTAAGAATGCTCACAACTCCAGAGTATTTAGTGGTTGTTAAAGGGTTGCGTAGTATGAAAGTAGCTAAAATGATGTCTGGTTAGTCTTTTCCAGGTTAAAATTATAAGAATCTTTGAGTGAAAATTGAATGAGCTTCCAATTAATTGGCAACAGCTATGCATATCAAGGAACAAGTCATTTATACCAGGGGATTTATTAAATTTTTATAACAATTGGCAATATTCATCCAGAAAAGGGAAGCAGAAGAATTCACAGAATTTAACTATGCAACAAAATCTGGCATATCTACAAACAGGAGTAACACTGTTTATTTAAACACTTAGTATAGCTCTACAAGTTTCCTCATGACCATAAAAGTGTGCAGAATTATGTATGAAAAAAAATGAAAACAACAAAACTGCCATCCTTTGTGCCAAAAAAGAAGACGAAGCCTTCTTAAGTGATGTGAGGCAGATTCTGGAGGCTTAAATAGTGTAAGCATGAAGGGAAATTTAGACATCATATAATGGCTCACTTTTAGCCATCTTCCACGCAACGCTGCAGCAAAGGACTGGAGCTGAGAACAGCAAATACCTACTTGGTCTGGTGCTTGGACCCTTTCAGGTGGGCGTGGTACTGTTCTATGGAGTTGAGGGAGACGCTGCAGATGGTGCATCTGTACGTGCGCCGTAGTCCTGTGGATGACAGACACACACAGTTAGCTGCCTTCCTTGCCAGCCACCAGCCTAAAGTTCAGTCCACAAGGACCTCTATGCACTCCACCAACCACACCTCACCCAGCTTCTGCAGCCCAGCCACAGGGGCCCTCATTGAAAATGTGAGTGGACAGGAGCAGCCTGCTCTAGCTAAGATGTCTGAATTATGGAATCACACTTCTTTGAATAGAAGCAACATGTTTCTGGATATTGTACATCTTTTTTTCCCCAAAATTGTATTGATAAACAGCAACGAGACAGTTTCAAATCAAATCGGAAGTACAGTTTTAACAAATAACACACTGCATATATTCTTCTTAGTGGTTAATTGTTGTACAAGACGCGGACTTGAGATCCTATTTACAAACACCACTAGAACAAATCATTCTATTCATTAACAGAATGCAACTATATATCTATCCCAACCACTTTGAATACGCAGATACAAAATGGACAATCATCTGTATACCCCATTTTTTCTAAGTTCCGTTATTGAATATTATAGGTGTGTAAACTCAGCAAAATATTCTAAAAGAGTCCAGCAGACCATAATAGCATTGGGTCTTCTGTTTAACTGGCAATGTCAGAAATTATTGACCTGAGTCCCCCACAGCTCAACGTAACAGCATGGTTTTACTTCCTATATTTTATCTTCATACTTTTCTACTGGATGGATAAGACCAAGGTAAAGCAGGACCTGTGCAACAAGACTTGTAGCTTTTGGGTCTGAGAAGGTCAGTGAAATCCCCTCAGGATTTATCCTGAGATCCTGTACCTCAGATTGTAGAACCTTTGGATATTATATATCTCTAGGAGGTGTTCTACGTTTGCTCTATGGTGCATAGACATAGCGGCCAATTACCTGTGCAGTGAAATTCGAGCCATTGACAGAAATCTCTATCCCAATTCCTTTTCCTCTTGCTTCCACAGCAGAATTGGAAGCACAACTTTAAACTTTATTCATGTAAGGTTTTCTTCTACAATTATCTTATTTAATGTAAATATTCAGAAAAACACAATGTAGAAATCTATTTCATTGAAGTTATACCTTCCATCAGACAATTTAAAAGAATATCTAGGCATTCTCCTATTTAATTAATTAATTAATTAATTAAGAGAATATCACTCTGAGCTAGCCAGTAAATTCCAATACGACTCTGATGCTCTTTGCTTTCAAGGAGTTTAGTAAAAATTTTGATTATGCTACATCAATGACTTTTCCATAGAAAGCTTAAGCAACTGAATGGCTTTAATCAAGTAACTTTAAACTTACATTACAGCTCTGAGACCAACAGTGGAACATGGTCCTTTATCTAAGGTGTTACTTCAGAGTTCAGAGAAAAGAAAAGTCAGACATTATCTTGAACTTTGAATTTGTACCCTGGATCCATCACCCTGGTTCTATAACCTGAAGGAAGCCAGGTCACACATGTTCCATCCCTTGTGGCTTTATCTGCAAGATGAAAATAAGCCTATCCACATGGCAAAGTTGCTGCAATTATTAAGAGAGTAAGATCTATGCACACGCTTAGCAAGTGAGAATGGCTATTACTAGTTTTGCCATGAAATTTTGGTCTTACCAAGGTAGAAGCGAGGATATTAAACTGACATTTTTTTCTAATTAGTACATTGTATTTTCCTTCTAAGAGCAAAGTTTTCTGTTTTTCCAAGAAGGAAATAATGTATGGTATTGGGAAGAGCTTTGTAACTTGCTGTCTATGTCACTTTAGGCAAATTATTTCACTTCTCTAGGCCTTGCTTCTTTACAGTGTTTGGGGAAGGTGGATAGATGAGATATGACATCTATAAGACAATCTGGTTTCCAAAAAGTAATCAATATAAGAGCTAGGGGCTGGAGAGATAGCTCAGTAGAATAA